TTTATATGCTGCTGATATGTTCTCCAAAGTACCTCTCAAAACATAAGTCACACTTAGACTTTTATGTAGAAGCTTCACCGTATTTGCAACACTTTTTTATAATAATATATCAGCAAAAATGATTAAAACTAGGTAGCAATTGTTCCTCTTGCTATCCTTTACTTCAAAAAAAAATATATTCAACACAGCAAACAGTAAAGTCTACATTAAGGAAAATAAATTGTAATAAATCGTTAGTTTTTCCTAAAAAAATTTACACCAGTATGATTTATAAATTGCTCTGCCCTCTGTCGTAACAATTATGGTTTATCTCGCTTAAACTGGTAGTAAAATATCTATTTAATGTGAAATTATATACACCACATAAGCTGTAAAGTGTCTATTTACATGTAATATTATAACTTTCAACGAGTCAGTCCTCTTAAAAGTTATTGCATCGTTTTAATGTCTTATGTATTTGCCAGTAGATACGAAATTACTTCAGTTTATACATTTTTTAACACCACATGCATTCTAAAAATATGAAAAAAAAACGGTTGTTCGAAAATTATAAGCGAAAAATGTAGGTACTAAAATACTATTTGCTATTGTGAAAAGTCGAAAATTATTATTATAAGTTAAATTATGATAAATTTTCTGTATACATTGGTTAATTTACGAATATTTAAAAACACAACACAATCGCGAAAAACTTTAAAGAGCGAGATCTATAAATTTATTTTCAAAAACGTCTGCTCTCGGAGTTACATCCCTTTAAAGGGATATACTCAGTTATCAAAAAGCTTTCCTACACTGATATTTTTCATCTGCCATCCCCGAAATGAGTTGCAAATTGCAAACCTAGATGTTTCTCATTGTATTTTTTACTAAGTTATAAATGCAATTCAAAAAATGCTTTTTAAAAACTTTTCTCAGTTAGAAACTTTTCTGTCTCTTGCATTTTTCACTGACCTTCATCAGAAACTTCTATTCTGCGACGCACTGTTTGGTGAACACGTTCGAAAATGCCTGAACTTCATCGAAAATTCTTCAAGGCGCGATAAAGTGATTCCATTGTTCCTCCAAATATTCAACTGGGATCATACAAACCAATTATTTAAGATATTCCCAGGGAAAGAAATCGAAAGTTTAAATATCCTATCTAATAATTTCGATATGTAGCATCCGAATTCTGTTCAACAGCTAAAGTGATTTGGCTGGAGCACTGTTGTGCATAAACAACATTAGCTGTCTTAATAAAATAGAGACTTCTCCACACAGTGTTGGCAGTTTTTCAAGAAAACTGCGATAAATTTCTCAAGTCAATCTGCGGGGAAGAAGGAATAAGCCAATCAGAAAGTCTCCAACAATTCCGATCCGCACATTAAGAGAAAACTGACATTGATGAGGGCTCTCTGTTGTCCATATGTCTATATGTGTTATGAAAATTCATTATGGCATCCCTTGAGAAGCTAACATCTTCGACAAAGAGTATTTGTGCAAAAAATCGAGCATTGTTCTCTATTCTTTCTTTCATCTATCGACACATAGACACTACTTTAAGTGGAAAATCATTGAGTAAAAGTATTTGTAGACGCTAAATATGACAAAATAATTTTTTTTGATTCCTACAAACTGATGTGAAGCTAATGCTAATGTGTGAGAAATTGTCCTAGTGCCTGTTATTGGGTTATCTGCGATTTCTTTAAGCAGCTATTCTTCCATTTAAGAAATAATTGTTTTAGGATGTCCATTTTCGGTGATAAGTTTTTTAAAACTCTTGGTTTTACCAAGATGCTAATGTAAACGATTAAACGTCATATAATGCGCTATAACACGATCTGGATAAGGTTCTTCATAAAGGCGCCTGGCTGCTACTGCGTTGCCGTTAGCAATACCATGAACGAACACATCATTATTTGTGAGTTTACCATTATAAAGACCGTAAGTTGTGCACGGAAACACCTGTTGTATTAAATGAATTAACAGATGCACAATGACAACTATTGACGACAGCAACTACAGTATTATTTTCAAATCCTTGATCCTATTTAGAAGAAGAAAACAGTGTGGTATAGTCTTTCCGATCTCAATTGAAGAACCAATTGGTTGGCAGTATGTACCAGATTCGGTCGCTGATGCAGCAACTCGGCATTGAAATATTTGAAAAACTTGTTCCCATATTTATTTAGCCACACCCATATACAGGTCTGGTCGCCCAGTTGAAAAATGAGCGCGCGTGCAAACGCGGCACAAACACAGCCGCACTGGGCGACCTGGACATAAATTCAGTTGTCGACAAATGGCCTAGCAGTGCAGTGTAGCAATGCGGAATTTGGTGTGATTCAGGTAATTTTAATTTATTTGAGCACCTTCTATTAATCATTCATATTACAATAAGAGAGATATTTTGTTTACTAATTTACAACATGGCATTTTGGAGACCTTTTGAAACGGAACAAAACGAAATTTACTATCAATACAGGGTAGGAAAGTACCGTTGGTCTATCTGAAGTTACGTGAGAGCGATAAAGTAAGCCATAGAAATCCATGCGATAGAGAAGGATGGCTATAATGAAGGCCTCTCATAGTCGCCGCCCGTTTCGCCCTTCCACAAATAAGATCCACTTCTTATTTGTGGGAGGGCGAAATGGGCGTTGCCTATTAGACGCCTTCATTATAGCCATCCTTGTCTATCACATGGATTTCTATGGCTTACTTTATCGCTCTCACGTAACTTCCGATAGACCATCGGTACTTTCCTACACTGTATAATAAAATTGTTTGAGGACATAAATAATTCAAATATGTTGTTGGTCAAATGAACATACATATAGTAGAAATTTTCTACACATTATATACAAATTATTATAATTTTTTACCGTTAGTAGAAAACTTTTTTAGAGACGCCTATGAAACTCATTAAATTTTATTGCTAGGCGTTTTTATACATGTTCAACTGACTTCAGAAAGACTATAAAAGGAGATGTGAAATGATGTTGTTATAAGTTTAAAATAAAAACCATTATTTTTTGGTACTTTACACGTATTTTATAAACTTTTTTTTTTGCTGAAAAAACAAAACGGAACATTTTAGTGAAAAGATGTAAGAAACAGACACATTTTTAAGTGAATCAAGTTTTTAAACGACATTTCTTGAATTGCACAAAAACCCCATAAAAAGAAGCAATGAGAAAAGGGTTATAATTTTCAATACCTTTCAGGGGTTGTAGATGATTAAAAATATTAGTATCAGAAAGCCGTGGACATGGCAAAGTAACATCTCTAATTTTGTTTTTTCTCTAATTGTGTGAAACAAAAGAAAATCTTAAAGTACGCTTTTAAAGGGGTGTATCTCTGAAGGCAAAGGTTTTTAGATGTTAGAGACCCCCCATACTTTTTGGCAAACAATCGCTTTTTAAAATGTTTTTTGAAATATTGAAACACCCTGTACAGTGTCACAAAACATTAAACGCGTTTAAAAAGTATCGATCTATTTTTTTCCCTGCAGCTTCTGGGAACTTTATATTCCTCATAATTTATTCTTAATCACAGTGAACATTTTATTAAATATTTCGAAATTTCTGAAAAATGATATTTTTTACTCATAAATTAGAAATTAAAATAATTGGTTTTTTTACAGTATTTTGCATTCTATTTTTTAATCAAATAGGTCATTAGTCAAAAGAAAGAATTAGGACGGAGATATTAAATTTATAAAATAGTAATTTTCGCCAAAAGAACACATTCCAAATTCTGTCTACGAAGAAATTTTTCGACTTCTAAAGAAATTTATTAAAGATTCCCCACATTTCTTGATTTATTGATAATATCCTTTAATTCACAGATTCTTACAAAGTTTCCTATTTGACAGAAACCCTACAGGAATTCTAAAATGTCTAAAAACACCAATTAATTTCACAACTCATCGTTTACAGTATATCCACATGCTCATGCAGTAATTAGTAACAACGCCCCGTGCGCCTAAAAATAGAGTGTGACTCCGATTTCGCTGGAGAATTCCATGCGAGTGTTGTACATTTTTTTAATAATAACAAGTCCTGCGTCGCATCAGATCGTAACAATTTTAATTGCGGCGTGTTCGGCTGGCTCAAACAACGCTGAAATTTGATTAGGGTGTTAACACGAAGTCAAGTCATTCCTCTCAAGAATTTTACTAATGAAAACGATATTAATGTAACCGCACGGAGGGGGAGACGAAATTTATGTCCCCTGGAAGACGAATTGTGATGAATGCGGATGGCGCGGAACCCCGAATAACGGGGTACATGAGTAATGGATTACTTTTGGGGTCTAACAGTAATTTTCGATTCTGTGCTAGAGCGAGTTTACTTGGTTATTTCGGAAATACAAAATCTAATTCACATGAGAATACATATTCAAAAACTGTGTGTTTATACTGTTATAGATTTAAGAGGTCAATATGTATTTGTACATGAATTTTCAAATAAATTTCACAATCAGAATAATGATGCGATTTCGATATGGTGTTCAATATTTTTCTTAAAAATATGTAGTGTCTATTAAAGTCCAAACCAAATTATTTGTCGAGAATAAACTAGCAGTTCAACATTTGCAAAATATAAATAATCAGTTTTCCTAGAAATCGTGGATTATTTTATTAATTTTTATGTAGTTGTTGTTTGATAATATTCAATAATGACTTTGTAAAATGAAAATTACAATAACACATAAAAGACGAGCTATATGAATCGATCTGTACTAATAAATTTTTCGTGAACGTCATCCAATATTTACATTTTCATCGAAGTGCCCTAATGATACGCCCATGTTCCTGTTTCTCTGTCGCACGCAATATCGTCAGTTTTAGTCCAACAAGCTCGCTATCCAGTTCATTCATCCAGAAAATTGATCGTTTCTTTTGCGGGTGGATATTGTTTAAACATAAACATACAGAGAGGCGCGTTTCACGGTATTTGTATTTTTATTTTACGCTTAGTGCGGTTCAGTGATGGTTTGTACTTTAAACTGAATGTTTTTTCGATATTATTCCATACTGACTATAATTCTTTCAGAGGAGATATGCTAAAAATAGATCCATGTGTAAGTTTTAATTTATTTAATGTGTTTCATGATTTCAGCGTTTATACAAAAATATATTTTTTATAGTTACTTCTAGGTACATTAATGTGAGAAAAATTCTTAACATAACTGAAACTTACAAGTGTTATACAGGACGACAAAAGGATAGTCTAATAAATTTCGAACGTTGGCAATACTTCAAAATCAAATCAAAATAAAAGATCCTTTAAAGCTTTATAGCTCGCTTATAACGCATTTTAGAGGGAATATTTTATAGAAACTTTTTCTCATATTTTGACATGTTCTACCACCTCGTTTGTTACACTATTTTGTGTACCCTGTATTTACTAGAATATCATCAATATTTTTCTTTCTTTTCCTGTTATTTGAAATGATTACATTTAAAATTGACGAAGTAATAGATCGATTGATCTTGCCTGCTTTACGAGCACTCTGATATACAGGGTGGGTCACCAGTAACGCCTCGGTCGCTAGGGACCAAACGGCAAATGTTACAGAAACCTGTGTAGGTGGGTACGTGTAGGTTAATTACAGCTACATTTTGAAAATATTCTGAAATATACCAGGAATATACCATGAAATATTCCAGGTGTCCAGGAAAAACGTACCATATCAAAGTTATGTTTTTTTAAATGCAACACCCTGCATTTTACTGCATTTTTGAAAGCACCATAGGTGAACTTTATTAAAGGTTATGCATGCATAGGACTTATTGTTTGTGAGATATTTCAATTTTAGTGAAAATGCAGGCTTAGCGTAGAAATTGAATATTAGCAATAAAATTATTTTAAGGAAGCAGCTTTGCAGAGTGTATTTTAGATCCTTGAAGTTATACATTATTATATTTGTCTTCACCTAGTATTGTACAGGGTGTTCAAAATACTGCCGAATACTTCTCTCAACTTTAAACAGCAATAACTTGGTTATTTTAAATGGGACACCCAGTATGTTTTTACTTTGGAAGTTGGGAAATTTAAAACTCTTTCAAACTGTGTATAGGTTCTCGATACCTATCTCTAACGGTATTGGAAATATTTGTGCCGTTTCGTTTTTTATCAAATTTTTTTGTAAGATATATCCACGTGTCTTTATCGTTATCTTTATTGAATTGGTTTGGCTTGATGGTGTCTCTTTAAATATAAAGAGAAAAATGAGGATGCAATTAAATGGCGCACCTACAAATTTTTTATATTCATCGAGAAATTATTTAAATCGAAAATTTAGTAATAAATGGATAAGTAAGAATGGTGCTTGTCAGTGGCCACCTAGATATCCATACCTCACCATAATGGACTTCTTTGTTTCGGGCTATATAAAAAATCTTGTACACTACTTGCGATGATATGAAGGAAAAGATTAGAGATGTACTTGCCACAATCACCCCAGATATTCTAAGATTTCTAAGGAATGTGAGATTATTATTTGAAGATAGAATAAGATGCTGTATTCAAGAGAATGGTTATCAATTCGATCATCAATTAAAATTTTTCGTTTCTTCTAAAAGTAAAATATCCTTTAATAAATATGTTTTATGTTGTTCCTAATTAATTTAATTTAGTTACGTACAACAAACATATTTATACAAAATTTATAACTTTTTATAATTATTCCGCTTATAAAATAATATTTTTTATTAGAGAACTTTCTTGAATGCTGTCATGATTGACGCTTTACAAATTCAATAAAGACCTCGATAAAGACACGTTGATACATCTTACAAAAAATTCGATAAAAAACGAAACGGCACAAATATCTCCAATACCGTTAGAGATAGGTATAGGGAACCTATACACAGTTTAAAAGAGTTTTAAATTTCCTAACTTCCAGAGTAAAAATATACTGGGTGTCCCATTTAAAATAACCAAGTTATTGCTGTTTAAAGTTGAGAGAACTATTCAGCAGTTTTTTTAACACCCTGTACAATACTAAGTGACGACAAATATAATAATATATAATTTCAAGGATTTAAACACTCTCCAAAGCTGCTTCCTTAAAATTTTCACTAAAATTGAAATATCTCACAAACAATAAGTCCTAGGTATGCAGAAGCTTTAATAAAGTTCACATATTTTTTACGGTGCTTTCAAAAATGCAGTAAAATACAGGGTGTTCCATTTAAAAATACATAACTTTGATATGGTACCTTTTTCTGGACACCCTGTATATTTCAAAATATTTTAAAATAATCGCCATAATCAACCCACCTAAACAGGTTTCTATAACATTTGTCGCTTGGTCCCTAGCCACCGAGGCGTTACTGGTGGCCCACCCTGTATGTACATATTTCACATAAAATTCACTTAAGGCCATTAATGTTTACTTTTATATGTGCTACATATTTTAATAATACAGTAAACGTGTCGTAACAATAAAAGTTAATGTGAAATTAGGGCATAAAGGCGCATGTTGAAAAATTATATGGAAAATAATAATAATTGTTTTGTTCATTAATAAAGCACTATAATTGCTTTTATTTATTGTGAAACTCGGCCTATTTTCTATTTATAGAAACGTGTAATAGCAAAGTGTCTATACGAATAGTTTTATGAAGAAAAGAAATTGTAAATAAAGGTTTCCAATTTGCTGGAATAATTTCATGTAATAATACCAATTTGGGATCGTATGAATACTTTAATTATACTTTAATTGCTAGTTTGAGTTATTATTATCGAACGAATTTTACACACTCATCTCGCTAAAATCACAAGATACAAGAATATTTATCAGACAGCTCAATTTTCATTACTGGAGTCTTCTCCAATGGCAAACAAATTATTTCACTGACTGGAACAAGAAAACTAAACCATAAAAGTTTTATTTATACTTGTCATGCGCAATTCCTCCAGCTAGATAGAATAATGCCCTCGAGAAAATTACTAGGATATATTTTGATTCCCAAGGCGATATTCCACACAAAGACTGACCCAATTTTATTGTTGAAAAGGAAGCGAATAACAAAATCTGATGCAGACTCAAGGAACTGATAAAATGACCTGGACAACTTTAAATATGTTTCCCGTGGCTGTTAGTAAATTGAATATTAAGCATCTGAACTCCAGCAAACATCGTTAGAACGTGACATTGAAACATAATGAACAGTTTTTCCAGATGATTAGAAATAATACGGTAAAGAGAACACTGGAACTTCTCCAGATAGAATTAAATACTTCTGTAAAGGGAATTCTCCCATTCAGTGAAATGTAGAACACTCGCAGTTTGTTGCGGAAAATTTCTGTTAATTAACCGTGTATTGTTTTCGTCACGTACACCTAAGGCACGAAAACGTGTCTTTATAATCAATATTGGATATTCATTCGATTTACCCCAAGAACTAACATTGTAGTTCGAGCAGTACCGGTTTCAGGAATGTTTGAATAATTGGCCGTTGAATATAAATGTTCAAAGGAGTCACATTTAAAAAATGGTGTAGTTGGAATAGATTTCCAATTTATTTTAACTAACGTTTGTCATAATGTGGATACGCATGCCGCAAGTGACCCATTTTTAAGCATTACGTCAAGAGCGCCAGCAGGACGCCGCCGGACGCACCAGCGTTCCAGGAAGGGTCTACAGCGGACTGGCGCCGGCGACCAGATGCGTACTCATATACCTACGGTACGACCGACTCCACACACAGGGACTCTCCAACGAACACTCTCCCCGTCAACACGTCTTTTTCTATACAACTTAAGTTTTCAATAAAATACTTCATAATTACCGTTGAGAGAGCGTTTTATTCTTGCTGTATAGCGAAAGCAACTCTCAATAACATCTGAAACGTCCTCTGGAGAATAGAATTAAAAAATATACAGGATGTTTTGAAAAAATATTTTTTATATATTTAGAATAAATTCAAGGACCGATAAAACATCAAAGAAGAAGGTGTTTTCTGATGGAACCAGGGTATCTCGTCTTATATTTTTAAGACATAGGTTGTAAGGTGATTTTTTTCAATGAAATTTTGGACATCCTTTCCAAAAACCAATATAATGAAATGAATCTGATATATTTTAGTTTTTGAGGCCTGTTGTATAGTGTTGTTCGTTTTTGACCATCTAGCTACGGTCGAAGTTTCTCCGTAACATTTTGAGGTTTTTTACAGTGTATTATAATGTAAAAGTTCGGTCAAAATTATCAGTTAGTTTAAATGTAATAAAAAATAAATGCGGATAACCTTTTTTTTAGTAATTTGATTTATGTACACATACTAGTTTTTATCTTTGTGTTCTTTTTTTTGTGTATTCTGACTTGCCATAAATGTACTATTGTATATCAAATGGTCAAATAAAGCTATCTATCTATCTATCTATCTATCTATCTAAGAAAACGAAAAAGCTACCATTGATTTATAGTACATTCCTCTCTGGACACTCATTAAGAAATAAAAGTTAGTTGACCTTGAGCAAGTTAACTACATTTTTCTTAAAAATGGTGCGTTTTCAGCAATTTCAGCAAATGTGTTTTGTAAGTGTATTAAGTAAAATGGAGTTCTACGTAATATACATTCACTATAGAATACAACTTCAAAAGGCATGTCTAGAAGATTGTCAAAAACTGACAGCACTGACGTATTTACTACCCTTAAAAACTCATCTGTGCCAAAAGATATGGTTAAAATTTGACTAAAAAAAGTAGCCTTTGCCGCCTTGTGTCACAAAAAACGATAAGCCATGGTCCATAGGAAAAAATCTATATATTTTTTCTATTTTATTCTCCCGAATTTACGATACCATTTTTTAGAACACTTTGTATATGATTGTAAAGTCCACCAACCGTACAACAGCTAAAAAGAAAATATTTTTGCAAACTAAAAACTAAAAAGAAAATAATTTTGCAAACTGTATTTGATTTAGTCAAGTTTAAAATTTACCTTGTTTTAATAAAAATAAGCACTACCGAAAAATTTGTCATTTTTTCTAGTTTATTGATATATTTCCAATTGTGACCGGTACTTACTACCTTACTACCCATTTCTACCCTACATATTACATAGTAGAGTA